TTATGTGGCTACTTCAATTCACTTTTTCACCTTTTGTTTATTGTATAATTTGCTGTGTGTGTATATATATATATAACAGAGAGACAGACAGAGAAAAAAAACAAACCACTCGTAATGATTAGGAATGTGTCTAGCCTGGCTAAATTTGACAGCACAATCCAGTCTTCCATGTTGCTGTCATTCTTCCAGTCCCTGTTTTCATACTGCATAAAGCCTTTGCAGATACTCAGTGTGAACTCACCGGGCTGCAATGAAATATTTAAAAAGGGGGCAAAAGCATTGTTTTTCACAAAGGCAAAGTTATAAGCAACCACACATGACAAACAGTCAGATACAGAACGCAAACACTGTGTTCAAGGTTAAGAACTCTGACTTGCTGAGTTGCAGTGGCTAATATAGATCTGATTCCCCTTTGCTCCCTGCTATGACTTACTGAAGTCGGTTTTAATCCTTTTTTTGTTTAAACCCCACCATATGCCACTATAGAACCCTAGTTCCGTATTGGAGAGGGAATGCTACCAGCCCCAGTAACAGCAATTTCATCTTTCAAACTGCATTTCCATTCTCCTTTCTAAAGTGCAGTTGCGGGTATTTAAAAGCATGAAGTTTGTAGATTGTCTCTGGAGCTCTTTTGTTTTGTTGCCATTTGCCAGTGGACAGCTGCCAAACTCACCTGTCTCCAAGGAGCCTACGAGGAGCATATCACGTCTCTGAAAATTCTGTGGCTAGGCCTGCTGGCTTCTCACTTTACTCAGCTAAGAAATGTGTTCCAAAATTTAACCCTTTGCCCTTGCATTTGCCTGCATATGTTATTCCAGACTGACAACTTGTCCTGTTTGCAACAAGGCTGAGGGAGAGTGGCAGTTGTTAAGAGACTTAGCAGGGTTAAGTACATTGTCCCTACGTGTGTTGGGAAAACTAGAGCCTGATTCTGAAAATTTTACTCATGTGGCAGCCTTGATTCCTGAGAGTGGCCCACATACCGCAGACAGGCCTTTAGTTGCCAAAGCCTCATTTTGCATCCATTAATTAAAATTGGCCAGCCTAAAACTTTTTATCAATTCTAACAATTTTCTAGGCCCCAATCCAACAAAGTATTGAAGTATGCATCTTTCTTTAAATGAATGCTTTCATTGACTTCAATGGGATTTTGCCCACTGATTATATCTGTAGCTGAACTGGGGCCATAAAGCTGAAAGCACAGGATTGAGAATTGGCCACAGATTTTTTCTCTGAGTTTGACCAAATCTATCTGTGCCTGAATTTCCCATTTATGAAATAGGCATTAAAATACAAAGTATATGTAATATGCATAGGAATGTTGTGAGGCTTAGTTTATTTGCAAAGTTTTTCCTGTCCTTGGATAGAAGATATTAGGAAAGTGCAAAATGTTATCCCTGTTGGTAAAGTGCCAGGCAACTCTTTACATGTTTTTTTTTTCTTTTAAAAAAATACTTTGGTGCTTTTTCCTTCTGGATAAAATATATAAATCCTGTAACTAAACTATTATCAGTTATATGCTTTCACAGAACTGGCACACTATTGAGAAGCATGATATTTTTGAATGATTACAAAACAAGTTGGCTAACATATTTAAAATCCAAGCATATATTTTAAAGCAAAATGGACAAAATCTCACTGAAGAAAACCTCAGAATGTCTTTAGTCCATCTGGCCATATTTCCTTGCTTAAAGCTCTTACGCTCCATCTTCTTCGGGTGTAGCAACGCTGGCTTAATTTGTGCTCTGTACAATATTTCTGTTTAAGATTCTGTTGAGTCACTACTAGCGTCAGCCAAACAGGCTTTTCAAGAGCTGGGGAGCAAGAAAATCAAGGCTGTGGGTTTTTTTTAAATTAATTCCATGCTGCTTAACCCTTGTGACTCTCTTTTTTTTCCAGACTTCCAGCCAAATACATGCTGACCAGAACATACAGATTTTCTGTCCCCACATGTTTTTCTCTGCCATGTGTGTAATGCTCTACACACACAGGGTGTGTCTTCACTGCAGCCAGAGTTGTGATTTATAGCTCATATAGCCGTACCAGTGCTAGCTGCCTTCTAGCTAGCTCACTAAAAACAGAAGGGAGGACACATGAAGCTCACACCATCCTCCTTTCTATTTTTAGGCGCAAGCTAGAGCACAGCTAACACAGGTCCACCTAAAAAAGCTACTACTGTAGCTGTATCCATACACACCCACCATTGTGACATCATAATACCTCAACAATAAGGTGCTCAATAAGCAATTTGATTCAATGGTCAGTCCCTGCCCTCCACTTACCTCTGATTCACAGTTCTGTCACTACGTAAAAAACTGTGATGAAAATGGGAGTAAAGAAGGACAGAGCTAAGAGAAGGGAAAAGAGGACACAGAGTGGAAAGGCGGGATTCTCTTACCCCAACCACAAGAAGTGTTGGGGTAGATTTTATTTAGAGATTTTAATGAAAACTGGAGACACTATCACTAAATAACACCTCTCCCCCGCCTTTTTTCACAACAGTTTCAGGGCTAATGGTTATGTCCCTGAGCAACTTAATTATTATCATTACCAAAAGGGCATCTAAACCTTCTAACCATTGACCATGAGTATCTGAGAACTCACGTCCACTCAAAACCAATTCCAACTCCAGACAGTTGTAAGCAGTTCAGAATCCAAATCCCAAGGTTCATGCATCCCTTGTTTTTGTGACAATGTTTAGATCCAATATCATTTTAGCTGGTTCGACCATCATTAGACTCAGTGGAGACACAGCATAGTCTTCAAAGGTTCAGAGTTTCACTTTAGATCACACCAATGTGAATGAACCAACGTTCCTTAAAACGCTAGCTCTCCTTGGGCTTGCCCGTAATGTTGTATTGCGTTTGAGTCCAGTTGTAAACAATTGAGGCAACTGACATAGTACTAACGAGGTACCATGGTACCAATCACAGGAGCCCAGAACAATTCATGTGTCAGAAAATCATGATAGAACCCTGCATGTTTAATCATATAAAGCTCACATGATGCTGCAGACCAGCCCCTCAACAACAACTGATTAATATCAATGGAGGGTTTGTAGGCCGAGGCCAAGATTTTTCAAAGTGATTAATGATATATGGCGCCAGACAATCATCAGAATAAAAATTAAACAGATTGCCAGACAACACAAAACAATTCCCTGAGGCTTTTCTAAATCACAATAATTCCCAATAACTGCCCAGGGGTTAGGAACAGTTGAATTAACACTGGTATTGTCCATAGGGCTGATTATTTACACAACTTTATACAAGGAAACAGTAAAAAACCTAAACCACAACTATTTATAAACTAACTTAGTAACTTTTTAGCCACTGTCACTTGGCAAGCAATAAGGACAACTAAAAAATCAATTAGGATAGGGATGATGACCGTGGGGAGGGGGGGGGTTTATACCAGTTCTGGAGACAGCAGGAACACAAGTACCGGTCACACGCTCATAAACTGTCTCCACTCGGGTCGACCAACTCAGAGTACGCTCAGTAAGACTTGGGAGCGGGGGTGCAAGGCGTCTGGGTGATCAGGCCAGGCGTTCACTCGATGCGAATCCCTAGTGAGAGAGGGGCTGCCTGCCTGTTTTATTGCCTGTGAACTTATCACCCTATAGGTTGGTTTTTGCTGCAGTGGGTGGAGTAGCAGGCCTGAGCACAAGTCAGCCCATTGGCTGATCTTTTACTGCAATGGGTGGAGCGAGCAGGGGAAGATTATTAATTTACATGCCCTTATATGGAAAACACTCCACCTCACAGACAGAGCCCTTTATACCAGCCTCAGAGGTATTACAGGCTATGGCTCCCTGCGATGGGCAGCCATTTCTGATGTTCTGTCTCGGACAGGATTCCTCTGTTTTCTGTAGCATCAAACTTGAGTCACCGTGAAAGGGCTTGGCTTTCAGAAAGTGCTGTACGTCCGGTTCCTTCACGGACCCTCCAATTGGGCACCATGTTAGTCCCAATCATGTTTGAAATGACATTTCATAAACATGAGATGTTTTTCCCAAAAGCAAAGTTTCCCTTTTGTTTCTCAAACTTACATCTCTAACACACATGATTTGATAGAACTCAGTGACCATTTAAAAAAGGAAAATGTTCTCTATCCAGAGAACATGCATGAAAAATTTCCGCTGGAAAGCCAGTGATTTAATGAAGTGAAAGGAAAGATCAAAATCAAGTTTCTAATAGAAAGTTAGTCTTTTTACCATAGCTCCAGAATTTGCCAGCTAATTAGAGCTCTGATATTTTGTATAGGCTAACCTTCAAACAATGTCCATAAAAGCACACAGTACCTAGTTAAATCTCCGATCATTATACGTGTCACAGAGTTGTCTATTGTAAATGAAGGAAGGAGATTATTCAATGTCATAGTTAAATATGGCCTAAATCTGAGGAAGGCAGAAGTGTAAAATAAACTGGAGGGGCGAGGAGAGGAAGGAGTTAAAATACTTTGAGCGGTGAAATAGATTATCAAAACACATCTTCAAAGGAAGCCCCATCACAACAGATAATTTAAGATAAATTGGATAAGGAGCTCCAGGAATGCTATAGTGATCATCCCTACAAAATGCAGAAGGTCATTCAGAGGGGATGTGTCAGCCAATCTTTGCTGGGCCTGCTTTCTAGGACCACTTAATCTGCTATATTTAAATTTAAATTTAAATATACTTCTGCTATGCCTGTGACTTTTCCAGTGACTTTATTCTAGCATAAGGTCTGATCTTCATATTCGCCTAATTCCAGAACTGTGCACAACTCACTGGTTTGAGGAGCTGTGGAATCCTCTTGTTTTTGTGTTTGGTTTGCATGGATTTGTGGAGATGCCAGAGACCAGCGGTTGGCTGTGCAAAATATTTCTATTTCCAGTATTATCAGGTTGCCCCTTTGTAGCAGCACTGCCATCCTCTTTTAAAATCCAGGTGGATAAGCACAAGAGTGAACCAGCAGGCTGTGTGCCCCCCTGATAGACCCTTTATGATTCCCTAACAGGTCACGCAGATGGACCAAAAGCTTGATGACATCCTGAGCAATCTCCAGATGCAATTTGGCACTCAGCCGCAAGCTCAGACACCAACCCCAGCCACCCCAACGGGCAGACGTTTTCGGTCATCCTTGGATTCCCCTCCTATGAACCGGAAAATGTAAAAGCAGCAGGCTACCACCTCTTCATCATCTCATTCTTTCAAGTAGCATTGCTTTTATTATTGGTGTCTGGAACTCCTGCAATCATTGTTGGTTGAAGTTAAATATTCTGCTGAAGTTTCTTAAATTACAAAAAAAAAAAAAAAGTAAGCTCAGTATGCCCCAATACGTACAAACCCACAAACTTTTTCACCCACTATCTTAAGAATTATGGGAGAATTCATGTCAGCTTATGGGACGCTGATTGTGTCATAGTATTTAGGCAGACTGTACCCATACACACACACACACACACACACACGTCCTACACAAGAGGGTAGGACAAAACATTCATAGGTAGGAATGAAAGAGGACTGCCTTTTTGGCATTCGCTCTTCTGCTCACACTATTTTAATGCACGCAGCATGCCCAAGCAGGGGAGGGGAGGCCAGAATCTGAACGTGAAACAAATGGAAATCAGTGAACAGGAAAATTAAACAGCATGTTTTGAAGTAAAGACTTTAGCCAAGCAGCCAGAATCATGAAAAGGGCAGAGTTATCTGCTAGCGTGAATGACAAAGTAAAGACAACAGGCTACTGATTAAAAATATGAAAAGTGTACAGAGGCTGGTTGACATGCGAAAGACTGAAGCAAGACCTCAGCTAATTAAAGCAAAGCCTTTGCCAATGAGACAAGATGCACGTTGGAACAGACAGAAATGAGAGATAAAATCTGCTTCGGGTAACAGCACAAGAACATTTTAATAGCTATCAGCTGCACAGATGACTGTTATCCAGAATGTTCTCACTGTTTTACTTTCATTCAGTGATGATTATTGACTCCAGTTGCCTTACTTTTAACAAATGAAACCTGTATAATAAGGAGATGTGTAAAAACAGGCAAAGCCCAGTTTGAATGACTGATTGAACTAATCCTGTGCAGCATCGTGATTTTGAATGACAATGTTTAGAAAAAATCCACTCACACTGTAGAGGAAAGTTAGTCTTTATTTAATTAACATGCTGTATATAAAAAGGCTGAGTTTTTGTGTAATATGATGGTATATTAAGTACGTATGCTGGCTGACATATTGATTCTGTGGAATGTACAGTTGCCTGGATAAGAAAATGTATCTTCTCTTGCACATCAGCCAAGCAAGAATATTGCTGAATATGTAAATAATAACCATAAATAAAAGAGGTATATTGCTATTTGCAAATTCCCTTTTTTAATATTTGCTTTGATGTTTCATGGGAAGCAGAGTCAGCTTAACTCAGAAGAAGTTAAAACTAAAAGGAGGTCTTTGAACCCTGTAGCAGCTTGCAATGTGAGTGGGTTACCGGACTAAGTAAGCATGCTAGTTGGAGCTCAGAATTCCTACCTTCGAAGGTTGGGTGTGACCCTAACAGCATCCAAAGGCAAGGAGGATCCCTAGTAAGTAGCAGTGAGTATCAGCTCGGGCTGACAAGCTCAGTGTACCCTAACTCACTTTTGTCAGTATCTGTATCATAGAGTGTCACGTAAGGTATCATATGCAAACTGGCAACAGTCTAGTCGGTATGATTGCATGGTATACAAACAAACGGCATATGAAAACATGTACGTGTGTGCTGGAAATACAGTCTTAAAGAATGTTTAGCAAGCAGACAAAGGAATGTGGGTCCATCTGCTTGAATGTGTCTCCAATGGAAATTGTGCAAGGCAGACAAAACCATCAGGCAAACAAGGGTGGGAGGTAATTCATTTAGCACTTTTGATGCGGGGTGGAAGCTGTAATTCCAGGAAACCTTCCTGCCTCCTGAAACAAAGTCATTGAATTCTGGATGATATAAGCAGAAAGAGTGAGAGAGCCATATTGGCTTCCTTCACCCGAAGGGTCAAAGGGTATGTCTACACTGCAATAAATAAACCATGGCTAGTCCATGTCAGCTGGCTCAGGTTCATGGAGCTTGGTTCTGTGGGACTATAACAATTCAGTAGAAATGGATAGAGCCCTGGCTCTGGGACCCTCCTCTCCCACGGGTCCCAGAACCTGGATTTCAGCCCAAGCTCAAACATCTGCTCTGCAATTTTCTACCTCGTAGAACTGACCCCACCAGCCTGAGTCAGCTGGTATGGGCCAACTGAGGATGTTTTATGGCAGTGTAGGCATACCCAAAGCAACAGAGCACTTGGGTGAGTTGGAGCCCTGTGTTGGATTCTGACTGAAATTGGCCAGTCATACTGGAAAAACAATTATGATGAGAAAATTACTTGGATCTAAAGCCTCCAGTTTGTTAACTTAGTTTTTAGTCTTAGAAGCTGCTTTTTTTTTTTTTTACTTTGTTTGTAATCATTTAGATCCCAATTCCTTTTACTTGGGATCACTTCAGTAGCTGTTATTTTTATTTTATTACAAAGCCTTCTTCAACCTCTTCTTTCAGATGGCTGATGGGCTTCGTCTACCCTGCATCATTTTTGCAGAAGAGGAAATGCAAATGAAGCACTCATTAGCATGTCTTGCATTCTCATTTGCATAGTCTCTTCTGATCCTTTTTGTGGAAGAGCTTTTTGTGGAAAAAATCGCAGTGTAGATGGGGTCATTTTTTGCAAAAAACTCCTTTTGCGCAAAATCCTGTAAACCTCATTTTTTGAAGAATAAGGAATCTTGCACAAAAGGGTTTTTTTTTGCGAAAAAAGGCCCCATCTACACTGCGATTTTTTCCACAAAAAGCTCTTCCACAAAAAGGATCAGAAGAGACTATGCAAATGGGAGCACGAGAAATGCTAGTGAACATTTCCTCTTCTGGAAAAATAACGAAGTGTAGATGTAGCCATGTAGAGCAGCAACTACAAGTTCACCTGAAGTTGATCAAAACAAATGGCTACATCAGGAGTAGCAGAATTTATTGCAGTAATGCCTCCTTCATATTTATAAATTGGGCAGTAGGTCCAGTGATATGTTCAATGGTCTGTTGTGGTGAGTCACACTCGAACACTGTGGAGTCCTTGGTTTTCCATTTGTATATTAGAGGACCACATATACCACGGTTAGTTTGGATTCAGTTCAGAGCTGACCAGGATGACTGTGGAAGGTCAAAACCAGGAACCTTCAGCATGTGATCCAGCTCAAGGTAATTATTTTTTAAGCCTTCTTTAGCCCAATCTGCTTTGCAAGCCTCCTCCTGATTGTAGCTTGATTGCACAAGGCGAAGTGAATGTTCCCAAAAAGGCTTGTGGGCCCTAAGACCTTGGTGGGGAGATGCTGTCAAGGTCTTGATGGCTAGGAAGACAGCGGTTTCCCTGGATTCACTGAGCTTTGATCAGTGTCACAGCTGTTGGGTATATTGGCAGAGGAAAGATGTTAGAACAGTTCGTCACAGTGTTGGAGTTGATCTAAGGGTTCCAGTGATGCACTGCATTGCTGTATTCAGCTGAGTGTCAACAAGTCACTTGTGACTGCATCCATACTAGCACACAATATTCAGCTTCCAGATATGCAAGAGCCAGTTTCTGGATTATATTGACTCATTTTTTTATTCTTTGCAGCTGGAGTCTCAAGATGATCATAGAAGGGGAAGGTACAATTGAGTTGCACTCTGAGGTACATTGGGATGTAATCATGTAGCATATTTTTACCACAGAAATCTATTACTCAGCATGGTCCACAGCAAGCAAAGCATTTGCTAGCAAGGTCTAATTTTTGCAAGTTTCAGCATCAGGTCCTTAATCCAGGCAGTGTCATACACAGATGACAAGTAGATGAATATTCTGCCGATCTGGGGTTTTTGTTGTTGTTGTTGTTGTTGTTTTATTTCTGACAGCCAGCTTCAGTGTGAGTGCCAGAACTTGGTGGCCTCAACTACATTTTGGCTGAAACACTGCCTGTTGCAGGGGATCACTGGTGCAGTAAAAGGACGTATTGTTTTGAGGATGGTACATTCAAGAAGTTTATAGGTCATTGTGACTGTGCGTCAGGCCAGTCTGTTCATCATTCCCTTTTTCCCCACCCTTTTGGTACTGCCCTCCACCCCACCCTGAGTCTCTGTGGCTCAGTATCTGTCTCTTTTGGCCCGTTTCAGCCTATGCTTAGCGTAGTCCAACCTGGCACTGTGGCTGGCATGACGCTCCGCGGCTCAGCCTCTAGGCGACCCTCTATGTGGGTCGCGGCGAAAGGGGGGCCTGGGCCCACCCCCTCTCATGGGCACCAGCCCAGGGCTCTAAGAACACGGACTAGTCTGTAGTAGGGTCCGACTGACGGGGCTTTCCGCCGTAACATGCCAGTCCATGGGCTTTATCCTTTGCCCACCCTAGGCTACTTCCTCTCCCTGCTTCCGGCCCTCTGGCAGAAGCAATGTGCCTAGCTCTGGTCTGTCTCACCTCCCTGGGTCGGAGTTCCACGGTCGTCCTCCATCCAGGGCTCTCCTCTCTGCCCCTTTCTCCCCCCCTTCCTGCGCTCCTGCCGGGTTTTAAACTTCCCTCTCTACGTCCCCGTCAGCATCGGGGCTCCGCCCCCAGCCCTCTTTGGCATGCTGACGTCAGGGATGTCAATTCACACCCCTTGGCCATTCGCCCCATCCCCTGGGCAGCTGCTCCTCCTGGGTTGTTTCCCATGGCGGGGCTGTTCAGTGGCCACTGAACAGCCGGCACACTGCCAGTATCCCACCCACCGAGTCGCCGCACAAGCGGCAATCGGTGGGTCTATAGTGCGGGGCAGTCCTGCCTCGTCACAGTCATGCATAGTAGAAAAAATGGCCTTTAGCTTCCCACTTCACCCATGGGCTTCAAGGGCTTTGGAATGGAAATTACCATTGCCTCATGTTTGAGGGAAGCGTACTCTCCTTAAGATAGTGAAGAATAATGTTGCTAGCCACGGGAGTCCTTTGGGGCTGAGATGGTGGAGGAGCTCTGGTTGAATACCAGCAGGGCCTGAAGCCTTCCCTTTCTTTATCAAGAAAAGTCCTTCTTTTACTTGCTAACACTGACAATAGAAGGTCTTCCTCGGGGTAATCCTCAGCCAAGCTAATAGGCTGACAATGTTGACTGTCTTTTTAAAGGAGCAGCAAACACACCAGACTTTGTCAGTGTTTCAGTGGGTGGGAGATGGTTTGGTGAAACTCTGAGGTCAGAAGCGCTGTTGGTGTCACTCTGCAGGGAGGAACCCGGCTGGGGTGAGGCTATCATACTGTGAGTCCATTGCTGGTCTCAGGGCTTGGAGCCAAAGCTTCACAGCACAGAGGCAGGTTACAGTGAAGGCAAGTCCAGGCCTTACTGGCCTGGGCTGAACCCCAAAACATCACCTGACTCTGCTAATGATTCAGTGCGTAATTTTGCACTAGTCACATTGTTTTCAGTGCGGATCTGGCGGGCCTTAACCTCCATGTTTTGTCTGTGAAAAAGGGATTATCTTTATTTATTATTTCTTTGGCAGGACTCCAAAGTGAGGTGGACACTTGACAGGCCAGACAGCAGGTACAACCCCTGCCCTGAAGCAATTACAAACATGCTTATGTAGCTTGCAGTATGGGGTGCTGATGTTACAAATTTATATAGATGCCTCCAGGGGTGTGAAGGACCATATGAATGTTTGTACAGCACTTTGACCATGTAAAATGCCATAGAGGTAAAGGACAGCCTTGATTATTAACATCTAGCTGGGGACATGAAGTTCCCTGGCAAAGCCAAAGTTCTGAATGAAGCAGGGCTGATGAGGCCAGATATCGGCAGAGCTAGACTTTGATCCTGTGAGGAGCTAAGCACCTTCTACTCCCACTGAAGTCCCAGGAAACTGAGGGTGTTCAGCCCTTCCCAGGAGACATTCTGGGCCTTGCAAGATTGGGCTTGCAGTAAACAAATGACCATTTTAATGCTCTCAAATCAGCCACTAATTACCTAGCCCTTTGAAACTGTTTTCCAAATTTGCGTGTCTGGGAATTCAGGCTTGGAAACAGCACTCTCAGACTGATTCCAGTCTTTAGACTAGAGGCACTTCTAACCCACAGCCCTAATGACATGTGAGAGCCAATGAAAAATGAAATGTGCTTTTAATTAAACCAGCCAATGAGCCCCCATTCCATGTTGTCTGATTTCTGTTGAGAATTACTAAACACTGTCAAATGCAGCATGCGACATGGGCAAATGGTAATTAATCACTGTCAGAGGAACGTGGAACTGCCCCTGGCTATCAGACAGGATTGTGAGTTTCAGAGCTTT